AAAACTTGCTTTCTCTTTATTAGAAATGTTACAGCAATTAGCTCACATTTAACAATTTGTGTAAAAATTCAATAGATAATTTTTAAGACTTTTTAAATTTTTCTGAAAAGTTGAAAACGTCTTGTAATATTGAAGTATTTCTTGTTGCAAACTTGTGGCTTTAACGCATAATTTTCAATATAAAGCTAAATCTAAGTTTTCATTCAATTACAGACCACTATTAGAATTACCACGAGTTATATAGCTACTATAACCGAGAACACACTAACAAAAAACTTTAGAAAATTTTTCTTTACAAAAAAAAATAATAGAAAATGACATTAAGATTTTTTTTCTGCTAAATTTGCGAGAAAAAGAAATATAACAAAAAAAAAAGAAAAAAATATTATTAAAATTCTAGCAAGAAAAACAAAAAATATCTTGTATCTTTTTCATCCATTCATAGAGGCTAAATAATAAGATTAGTGTTACAAATTTGATAAGATAACATTAATGAGATCAAGTTTAGTTCCGTTCTATTTAACTTCATTTGTTTAATCAGAGTATAAAATCTCTTAACATTTCATTATTACGCATTTGATACAAAAATTATAATAGAATCAGAAATATTTTACACTCACTTTTGGATTATTCATTGCATACTTTTAGGATTACACACTACATAATAATAATTGTACAATAGTACTCAATTTGTAATAATATGCATAAAAAATAAACAACAACAAAATATTACATTTAATTGGCTTTACTGAATTTATATAGAAAGAAGCCGTAGATATATTAAGGAATTTGAAATTTAAAGGAAAGAGGAAACTGTAAAAATGAATATTATTTTTAGTGTATTCCTCTATCTTATACTCACACAGTCACACCCCACTTGTTTTCATAAGTTAAAAGGAAATCCATTCAACTTTATTTTCTACACCAATCGTGAAATTTTCTTAAAGAAGGAAAGATTTTTGAAAAGAATTTCACTTAAACAATTAAATTTAAAAGTTTTGACACATTCCTGCAAAATAATTTTTGTTTCAGTTGAATATTTTTCAAAAATTTCTTTCAACGGTGGTAGTTCATTGGTTTCTCTCACAGTGTTCATTAAACCATAATTTATTCAAAGTTTATTTGACAACATTGAAAAACAATTTGAATTTTTTTAAGATATTTTTGCTTTTAATATCCAGAGTATTGAATAATACATTCTTAATTATATCAAATAAATTTAGTTGTCACAAAAAATCACGAGCAAAGAAAAGTAAATCATTCCCACATTTATTGGGTTCCACTAAACCAATAAATGTAGGAATGATTTAATTAAAATAGTTTTATAAGTAAATGAAATCATCCATAAAATTTATCAAAAATTTTCATCAGAGACGTTATAAAATATGCAGAATTAAATGACAAACATTTCAATTGCAAATTTTGAAAATTTTAAAGTTATGCAAAAGTAAAATTTATTTTGAAAAATAAGAAAAAAATTGCCAATAATATTTTTTTGTAATTTAAAAAATATTTGTTTTCCATTTTGTCCAAGTTAATTAGTCGAAGATTTTTTTTTATCCATTCAGCATCAATGGAAAATTAAATAAATTTCTTTTTAAAATAAAAAAAAAACAATATTTTGTAAAAATTAATTGGAAAACCACAAGCCACTCATTCTGTAATAAAAGATTTTTATTTTTGATTTAAAAAACAAAATATTAATTTTGAATAAATTAAGTTTGAATTGACAGAAACCACAGAAAACCATCACGAAAATTTTGATTTCCAAATAAAATCTTTATATTAAACTTTATTAAATTAAAGATTTTTTTTTCACAACCTTAATTCACTAGAAATAAATCCAGTTTCAATAAGTGTTTGTGGTAATTTTTGGAAAGAAAATTGCATATTTTCCACCTGGGTAGAAGATATTTTCAGAAAATTATTGATTCAATATTAATTCGAAATTCATTCAAATATTCCTCGAATCCGAATACTAGTAGAAAATAATTAATTATTATTAATGTACAGATTGATAATTTTTTAAAAATTAATTTTAGTGAAATTTGAAATCGTTTTCGTATATCCAGAAGGGTATCCACTCTCCAAAATGTGTACACAATCTTGTATTAATCTTTGTAAAGGGTGCATTACGTTGTCAAAATATTTCAAATCCAATATGCAATAAAATTCCCATTATAGGTTTATCTATTTCCTAACACGTTGCCCATTTTAAACGATTTTAATTATTAATTTAATTTTTAAAGGATTTTTAAAGGATTATATTAAAACTTATATATGAATAATTCTTAAAAATTTTATGCTAAAAATTTTTAAATTTTCAAAATTTAAATCTTATTTCTTTACTATTTCCCTACAAAACCCCAAGAATAAAACAAATTTAATATGCTAAAGCAAAAGTCAATTTAATTTTTTTGCGAAGCATAGTCATTAAAATGCAAAAAGTCATAAAAAAAATAAAATTATTCATAAAAAATTAGACGAAATTTTCTAAAACCCCCCATTGGGAACATTTTTAAAAATAAAAATTGAAATCTCATAAAAAAAATAAATAATAGGATTTCAAAATGAAAAAAAAAAAATTTCAAATTAAATTTTATGACTTTTTTGTTTTCTTATATCATTACTCAACCGTCTTGAAAATTTCTTTATAATAAAAAAAAAACAATATTAATTGTTCTAGTGAAGCTATAAAAGAAAAATATATGGTTAAAATCTTTGTTACGTAACGAAATTACAATCAATTTTTGTTTTTTAAGCGAGTGAGAGATAAGCGGAAATGTTTCATTAAATTTCTAAACACTTTTTTCCAAATTTTAGGTACCCTAGTAAGCAGTTATTTTAAATACCTAGAAAAATGTGAATTTGGCTCTTAGTAGAGTTTCACTTTATACTATTTAAATTCCCTGAACAAACTGAAGAATCAGTTACTTCTGGTAGCCAACGTAATATATTAAATTTCAACGAATTCCCTTAATTAGTTCCTTAAATATGCTAAAATATTCGGATAATAGTTCGGTTCCTGATATTCCCAAAAATTTTATTATTTCATTTTTTTAATACCCTGAATTCATATATAAAATTTCAACAAAATACACTGACTTTTTTCTTAAATATTATCAAAAACGAAAAATCAGCCCATAGTAAAGGTCTAGACACCTGATATATTCCAGAAATTGTTTAAACCATCCCCTCCTCGATAAAAGTTCAAATATAAACTTTCGTGAAAATCGGGTCAAAAGAACTTAAAATACTGACAGACAGACAGACAGTTTAATTACAAATACTTTTTTTTGAATATTTAATGGACTGTGTACTTATTCCTTACTTAGGGTTTTAATAACAATCTTAAAGGCTGATTGATCAAACTAAACTAGCATTTGCCGCATTTAATTTTCCCTGCCTCCCTGCTAAAGACTCAAAGGCAATGGGGAAATATTTTAAAGAAATTCCTATAGATATAAATTAAGAAAATTTGTAAATTATGTGGTTTTACTTAAGAAATATGAAAACTGAAACTAATTATGTATTATTACAAAAACTAAAATTGTTGTCACCCGTAAGGTATGCAATAATGATGATGTGAACAAAAATACGTATCAAAAATTTTAATTAATTAAGGTGAATAATTTAAATAAAATATCATTTATTTTTTTTTAAATGCTCTGATTTGTTCAATAAAAATGTGATATGCTTTGCAATCGATTGGCTTAATCCGAATCAATTATTCAATCCATTAAAAGTCAACTTTAATCCTCTGTTCATCTATAGCAATAATACGTTGATAGACTAATGGATATTTCAAATGCTTGTTCTAATTGTAGAAAAAACTCTCAACAAAAATAAAGATACTAAACATTTTTTCATAAATTTTAATTTTAAAAAAATGTTTTAGTTCTGTTTAATGAACGTGGGCAGCATGGTATGGAAATTCATATATATTTAATTTCGGAAAAAGTTTGTATTACTATAATTAAAAAACTTTTCATACCGACCAGAAAAAACATAAAATTCATAAAGTGCAATAAAATTTTCTTTTTTTTTTATTAAAAATAGTAAAATTTGAATAAAATTCAAAAATTAACAAATTTCCAGGATAACAAACTAGAATGGGTTTTTATGTAAAAAATATTTTTTAAATAATTCAAAATTTTTGAAAAATTGTGTTAAAATGTTAAAAAAGTTTTATACTCGTTGTAATGTATGTAAATTACAGAGAATTTTACAAGCGATTAAAAAAATTGTGGAATAGTTAAGTTTGCAAGAGTTTTTAAAAAACAATCTCAGAGTTATCGTCAAACATTAGTTCTGTTAGACAGCACTTCGAAATCTTTGTTAAAAAGTACCTATACTTACATATTTCAGACGCAAACCAAAATTATCAGTCGTCAGTGAATGGTATAAGAAGTAAGTTTACAATTGCAGTTCTGCATTAACGGAATATAGACTGCAAATGCTTTTAACTTTCTTAATTCTCAAAATATTTAATTCAATCTATACGATAATTTCAAAAATTTTATCAAAGAATAAAAAAAACCCAGCAAATCTGAAAATAATTCTTATAAGAAACTAATAACAATTTTCCAGAATAACTAATGATTTCATAGAACTGCAGAACAGATTTCTTCATAGAGTTGCAGAACAGATGAATGTCGTAGTCAAAGGAATGTGTTAAGGAATCTTTCTTCATACCTCTGTAACTCAGTTGGTAGAGCTAAAATACGGTATGTCACTGGTTCGAGGAGAAGATGCTGGAGTCCAGTTCGAGGAGAAAAATTTTTTAATAAATTTCTCTGCCATAACTGGTTCCTATGATTACGTCATTTATCTGTTCTTCAATTGTATGAAGAAATTTCCATTTGTTATTCTTAAGAGAAATAAAAATAAATTTGTATTAGTAATTAGTAACTTAAATTTTTTTTTTAATAAATTAACAAAAATTTTATTTTTCTCTTTTATTTCTATTAACAGCAAATTTTAATAATATTAACACTTACCTTTCATCTAATCTCATACTACTACGACTAATGTCACTCCATACTGACATTGAACGTGGCCTTTGAAATACACTAAATTTTGAGCTACGGCGTGCTTGTACCATTGGTGGAAAACCATCAACAGTATCCGGTGGAAAATTAACATTCCGACGCCGGCTTGTTGTACTTGATGGTAATGATGCTAATGTTTCGTCAGACATACTATTATTATCATTATCTAATGCATTATAAGTTACATGATATTTCGTAGTCATTTTGACAACGAAATATATTTAAAATTATAAATACACGTTCATATTTCATAACTAAATATTTTATATTAATTATAACATTGTATATAATATGAATATTAAAAATTGTTTCAATTGGGTAGTAATAATTGTTGCTTTTATTAATAGTATTGGGGAGAAGTAGGGTACCACTACTACAACTACTACTATAACTAACTAAATTATTATGAGAACCACTGTTTACAATTTTAGTTAACATTTCAAAATTTTTGTTTTTCTTACTTTTTTTTATAAATTACATTAGTCAAATATTTTTGTTTTTTTTTTGTTTCAGAATTTTTTATTTTATTCTTGTTTTTGTTTTTTTAGAAGGGATTAAAGTTTATTTTGTAATTTTTCGGTCTTTTTTTTGTTTTTAGGAATGTATGCATAATATGCTTAAAATATTTTTTTTTTTTTTTCAAGGACATGAATGTCCTGTTTATAAATTATTTATATTCATTAAGGTTTTGTTTTATTTTACTCTTTTTTTGTTGTTTGTTGATTTCAAGCAAACTTTTTTTTTGGTTTTACTTTTTTGTTCGTCATATTGTTCTAAAGTTACCCAAAAATAACCTTCTAGTCATAATTAAATTTTTGTTTTTCCCATATAACGTCATAATTGTTATATTTTGTATAACAATAATTATTATGGTTGGTGCTTTTTATACATACTTTAAGTTTTTCTCATTATTTTCATTTCTTTTTTTTTTATTATTTAAACTTTGTATTTTTTCCCATTTTGTTATTATTTTTATTTTGAATTGTTTTACATTATCATAAATTATATACAGTTAAAAAGAAAGAGAAAAATATTTTCAGGTTGTCATTTTGAATATTTATTTTTCCTTTTTTTCTACATTTCCTCCATTTTGTATTTATTTTGTTTTGTTATCCTGTTTGTTCTTTTGATATATATACAATAACATTATTTTTTATATAAACACAATTATATACACTGTAAATTTTTAAAAAATAAAATGTTAAATGATTAAATAATCATCATGCACGTTTAACAAAACTCAAAAGAATTATGTAAGAATTAAAAATGTCAAACAAAACAAAACAAAAAGGACATACGAAAAAGAAACAATAATATTTTTTAAATTAGAAAATAATTTAGGAAAAAAAAAAGAAAATACAAACTTGTTAGAAAATAAAAAAAACAATTGAAATGATTCGCAGTGTTCCTTCTGTTCAATGCCTGCTTACGAAAAATTTCATGGAAATTTGGCGGGTCTATGCAACATTAAAAGTTTTCAAAGTAAAAGTTGGTATTATTTTTTGAAATCCCCATAATATTCAGTTTACATTAATTTTTAAACGAGAAAGAATTTATGAAAGAATTAAGGCCATATGTTGCATACTTCTGGGCAAATCATTAATTGAATATAAAGCATGGAACAAACAACATAATGCCCGTAAAAATCTCGAAATTCAAAAGAGCAAAGGTTTTTATTTACAATGAGGTTAACCGTCATATTTTGGATATGTATAACTTTTATTATAAATACAGGGTGATTCAGTAAAGACTACGAAATTATATATCATTGTTTGGAGTATCAAAAATGAGTAAAATTTTTGTTTGGAACTAGTTATCAAACCTTAACAGTTTCCAATATACAGTTTTTTGCAGAAAGAGTAACAGAGATGACAACAGTTGATCCTTTAAGTAGTTCGGCAATCTTCGGTTACTTATTGTAGTTGCAGCAATTTTCCAATTTTATGTCTAGTATTTTCTTAAATTTAAATATTCATACATTTCTTACATTATATTATATAAAGTACGTACTATTTATACATGTATTATTTATATATTATGTATATGGACTTGCATTTATCTATAAACTTATATACCGTCGGTTAAAAGGCAGAAAGCACTAAGAGCATGTTTTTGAGAATTCGGATTTCATAGATGAATTAAATCAGAATAATATAATCTTTGTTGTGGCAAAAAATCATGCAATCCAGAATATAGTTTATATATCCAGAAACGAGAAAAAAGAGACCAATCCCATTGCACGAAATGATTAGTTTTGCGATTTTACGATTTTTTCAAATTGAATTTACTCAAAACACAGTTTCCTGACTTAATGCTTTCTGCTTCTTAACCAACATTATCTATAAAGATGTTATAAGTCCTTGACTTTGATCTTGACAGAAATTTTAGAAGTATTCTTTAGTTGCACGAAATCCAAAAAAAAAAATGCTCAAATAATTTTTCCCATATAAAATTCAAATGAAACGTGCAATCTCAAAAATAACATTTAAAAAAAAAATGCATTTATTTAGGAGGAAATTTCCAAATGCGATTACCATTTCCTATATTTCCGATTCATAACAAAACTTTTAAATTTTATACTTCCACCTTATTTACATGTCAAATAAATAATTGTGTTCTTTTTGAACAATTTTCAAAGAGGAAAGTTTGCGTGTTCAATAGCAATCAAATTTTGTGGTAAAAATAATGGCGGATTAAAAAAATTACATTTATGTATGTACATGCAACAAGTTTAATATTGTACACAAATATTTTGAAATAAAATTGAAAAATATAATTAAAAGAACACTATAAAAAAATTGCAATTGTTACAATACTCAAGAAAAACTTTGAAAATAATGCGGTGCCTTTATAAAAACGAATTTTTTTTTCAGCAATCTTTTTGTGAATAATTTTAGTTACACAAAAGCTTCCATGATTTAAGGAATTTAATTTTTTAATGTAAGAAAAATTACTGCTAAAAAGAATTTTATGAAATTTTTCAAAAAGGAAAAAAACCACCATTACAAAGTATAAAATTTGTGTCTGCACGTTCCTTCTTCTAACACGAAAAAGACATAAACAACAAAAATAAAGGACGTGATGTTAGGGTGGAGAAAAAAAACTTAGATTTTCAAAAAAAAAAAAAATGACAGATCATTTCTGTGTTGAAGATTACTTCAGAGGTCAAAAACTCATTTAAAAAATAATCATTTATATTTACAACTTTTTTGTATTCTGCTTACTTCACCACAAAAAAGAAAATTCAATTCTCTTTAGATCATGCTGGATCTTTGAAAACAAAAAGCAGGAAATTCTTAAATTCAAAACCGAAAGAAATAGATTTGACTCTGCCAACTAGGGGAATGTTTTTTTTCAAATAATTAAAATTTTTACAACAAGTTCAACTCTAAATTTAACAACTTGTGTCCTTAATTATAAAATTAAGTTTAACAATTTTTTAATGACGATTCCATTAACTTGCATATATAAAATGGAAAATGTGCTATCGAAGTTGTGTATGTCCAATGTTTTCAGATTAGTTGCAGTTAATTCTTGAAGTACAATTTTTATACATTTGGGGAACTATAATCAGGACTGACTGTCAGTCCTGATTACAGTTTCCCAATTAATGCTATTAGTAAAAAGATTAATTTTCGTAAGAAAAAGCAAGTCATGCCCACACAATAAACTGTGTTCGTCTAGAATTTATAAAATAAAATATGTACAATTAGTAAAAAAATTTTCTTAAATTATTACCGAATCTTTGTGGAAGCAAATTTAGAATTCGTTTGTTTTTTAATTTAAACTCATTACAAAATGAAGAGGCTTTAATTCTATGGGAAGATAATTCAATAAACTCAATTCATTTTTAGGCTAATATACTTATGTATAGGCCCAAAAAGAAAACTTACATATGTTAATTCGAGCGACAAATAAATTTAGTTTCTAAAAAATGCATTGAAAAAAATGTCCTTATTAGAATTACAAGTGTAGTGACAAATTTGTAATATCCTTACGTATAAATCTTTATACCAATAGAATAGATAACAAGAGTACAAGTCGTGCGAGTAAAAAAAATATTAATATTGGAAAACAAAACAGACATTTATATTAAATTTAGAAAAGAAACCTATTTCTTTGTCACAATTTTATAAAATACCAAGCACATGTTTATTCTTTTAGTTTTATTGTATTTCCGGAAGAAAAATTTTTTAATTCTAAACAATTTTCATATCACAATTATACGACTCTTCCTCATTATTCCACTGAACATTTCCGTTTCTACAATTGCGTCAAATTTCATTCATCTCACAAGCGCTATGTTAAGTACCCGTATTTAACATTTCGAATTGTACAAAATTATTCGAAATTTCATTTAAAATCTAAAACCTCGCAACTTCATTTGTACAAAAGCTTGTGCAGAAAAGAAGCATTTCAAAACAAATTTCAAATTTTCAAGTTTCAATATAAAACCACGGAATATAATGAAGACTTATATTAAAATAAATGAATCTGGGTTATATTTTAGTCCTTTTATAATAATTTACCAACTTATGTATATAGAATATCTAATATTTTCATTTCTGGTATTTAGGTCACATTTAGTTTTCTGAATTTTTCAAGGATATCACAATATATTTTACAATTAGAATAACGACATGTCATTAAAATTGAAGGCTACTATTTTTTTTATGAAACAAAAATTTTATAAAATTGTAATCATCTTTAAACATAATTCCTTATTACAATTTTAATGATTTTCGGAAAAATAAAGAGGACATTTTAATTACTCTACTTTTATGTTAAATTTCAAAGAAAATAATAATTAAAATTCAGTTTCTATGCTCTTAATATTTTCAAGCAATTCAAAACTATTTTCAAAAGTACTTGAATAAAAGATTCTCATTCTTGCCTCTTTAGCCGGCGCTAGTCCTTACAATTTAGCTGAAATAGAAAACAAAAAATTTAAAACATTTTGGAGAAATTTTCCATTTCTTTAAGATGGATAATTTCAATAGTTTTTCATTATAACTTTCAACGCATTTACATGCCTTAAAATCTAAAAATTAATGGCAATGTTCTTGCCATTAATTTGTAAAATCTTTCGAAATAAATTTATTGTTAAGAGGGAGATATGTACTTAGCACATAATCACTATTTAAGATTTAGATATTTTAGTTGGAGTTATTCCACATCATCTGCTAATGTAATGGAAACTCAAAAAAAATTCCTAGGCTCCTAGCAAATACTTGAAGTTCTGTTTTTGCAGAAAATGTGCTCTTTTTCGGAAATTTCATTCTTTTCAAACTAGTTTTTTATTCATATACTTTTTAATAGAAAATTAAATTTTGTTTAAAGTAGCCTTGAAAATTATTGAATGTTCTATTCGTCCTAAATCTAATGTATATGAATCATGTGATCCAAATTTGTATTAAAATTAAGGTTACTGATACAATTATATAATTAATAAGGTTGATGGAATGTGTGACGAAAACTATTAAATTTAGGATACTACACTTTTTTGGAAATTCACTAATTTATTATTCTTGACTTGTATAATAGCTTTCACAGCTCAGCACAACAACTTCTTCAACTCAATTTTTTGGCAATATTCTTTTGTACAATTGATAACCTAATGAAATTATAAAACATTGACTAAAATCTAAATTTTCTTAATCTAAAAAATCAATAATTTTCAATATTAAATGTTAGAACTTGTGTTTCATTACACAAAATTTTGCATCTGCGATAGAGAGGATAGCATAAAAGTATAATTCCTTTGTATAAGCGTAATTTCAAGTAGAGCAACCTCGATATCCTTAAGTCGAAATTATACCTTTCCGATTTCATAAAATTTCTTTCTTCAAATTTAGTAGTGTGATAGGACATAGACTATATTTAAAAGCAGTATTTTCACTTGAAGGGAAAAGTGCTACAATGCAAACCATTGGTACCAACTTTATTAATAAAACCAACTTTATTAATAAAATATTTTGTATAATGTTAAAATTATTCATAACAGCCATTAATATTAATACATTTCAAATCCTACTCAAAATATGTTCAAAATTATATTCAAAATTTCATTAAATTCCTATTTATGAGCAAATCCTTTATTTTCCACAAATCCTTCAAAATTTTAATAGATCAATTATAATTATAAATAAGATATTAAGCATTCATATATAAGATTA